GTAGATTGTTAAGAGTTTGGTCCCTGCGTACTTGTCCATTTTGCTCTAGCTTAGGCTGCAGGCCTACTTAGTCTCTGAACAATGCCATCCTCTGTGCCTTTGGCCAGCCTGCAATGCCTTGCCTAATAGTGGTCTGTTGTTATGATGATGATGATGGATTCTCCAAACCTCACTGACCTGAAAGGGCCTTTCTCTTCTTCTATACCCAGCTCAAATGTCATCTCTAGAAGCCTTCGCATATACTACCGTGTACAATTGAGATTACTGTTCTCCTTCCTGTATGATAATAAAGGACTCCTATAGAGTATTTAATATGTACCAGAAACTGTTCTAAGTACTTTGCACATATTAGGTAATTTAAACTTCACACTGATCCTAAGAAGGTATAGTATTGCTAGCTCTGTTTTATAGCTCAGGTAACTGAAGCACTGAAGATTAAGTAGCTTTCCAAAGGTTTCATAGCTAGTAGGTGTCAGAACCAGTGTTGGAACCCAGGAAGTGCAGTTGCCTCATGCTTTAACCATTATACTACCCTGCCTCTCAGTACCTTGTATTGGTTACACTGTGTTCTTGATTGCCTTGTTTGGGTGTATTTCTAAATTATGAGATCCTGGGGGCATGGCTATTTCTTTGTCTTCAAGGTACCCTCATAGCCCTTAAAAGTATTTTACAAGTAGTGGGTGCCTAGTAACTGTGAACTATGCTGAGTCCATCTTCCTGCTGTGATCCACCGGAAGGGACCCTCACTTCTGGTGGGGCTGGTCCAATAATGGTGTTCAGGGTGAGTAAGATATAATTCTCCACACTGTTCAGAACACAGGCCTGAACCAGCTGCTGTGGGAACCCCTGGGAGTAAAGTGCCCTACCTGCCTCTCAGGTACTGCCCAGCCTCATGCAGTTCTCGGTATTGTGTATGTAAGTTTCAGGAAATCATGGTGATCAGCATCATAAAATCATAAAATAAAATATAAATCAGAGATTAAATAGGCCTGAAGCCTAAGCTAGAGCAAAATGGACAAGTATGCAGGGGCCAAACTCTTAACAATCTACAAATGCTGTAGTCAGAGGACAATGGGGAGCCATTCAAATCTTTGGAGGAGGAAACTAATGTTCAAATCATAAAATAAATATAAATCATAAAGTGCTCAGAGATAAGTAACATTGCTTTGATCTTAGTCAGTGGGGGATTTTCCCATGGGAGATTGCTGAAGGCAGATGAATAGAGAGAGGTAGACTGTACCATGTCTAGCTGGTGCATGGGTTCAGGGGTTACTTTCCTTAGTGCTTCTGTTAGGAATTCAGAGCACCTTCTAAACCTTCAAGATGTTCTCCTGCTGCTCCTGAAGCGGTTCTGTGGATTTGAGAAGATTAGTCTCTCTCTCTCTCTCTCTCTCTCTCTCTCTCATTTTTCTGACACATTATCTCTCAATCTTTATTATTGCTATTGCTATTATTATTACAGTTGCAGATAACACAGAAATTCATTTTATGGAGATAAACACCATCAACAGTTCCCTTAAGGGTAGTTTTTCCCCCTAATCTACACGTTATCAGAGTGTATTTAAAAAACAAAATGGGATTAGTCTTAACATTTTGTTCTGCAACTTTCTTTTTTCCCTAAGACAGTACCTTTGGCCATCTTGTTAGGAAGATAATCCTGTTCCAAGCTGGGTTTAAATAGCTCATGTTCAACCAGTCCACAGCATTTGTTAAATGATACTAGTTATACCCCTTAATGTTTCCATCAAAGCATCTCTATTGACAAGAGTAAATGCTTAAGACTGGGCCCTGGAGTGCAGCCTTAAGCACCTGCTGCCATTGCCAAATATCTTTTAAGTCAAATGATTTATTTTACAAGTTCATTTTATTTTATGCACTTTGTTTACCATGTGGCTTTCTGTACCCCAGCGTATAAATGCCTCAGCTTGATGTGTAAAATGTGCCCAGGACACAGTAGGAAGTGTGTTGAGGAATATGAAAATTCTGGGCGGGCAGATGAAGAATGGGCTCAAGTAGGGGGAGGAGCCGCCTCACTTTTGGGTGATTAGACCTATGGGGTCCCTTTCTGAAAATTATGGTTATTAGGGATTACCCCTCTAGGGTAATCAACCAACAAACAGGCATCATTTGCAGTGCCAGTGTCCCAGATCTATTACTGGAATTGTTATTTTCAGGGAAAGCAGGGGGGTGAAACTAAGTAGGTCTGTTTTATTTTGGAGCATGTAGGATGATATTATGATGATAGTATCTAGATAATAATAAAAATATCTAACATTCACGGAGGCTTGCCATGTGTTACACACCCTCCTTTTATCTTATTTTATCCTTGAAATTCAGAGAGATTAAGTGACTTGCCCATTGTCACACAGCTAGTAAATGTTGGAGCCTGTGTGTATGCATGTGTGTACCTATGCATGTGTGTGTCTGCGTGTGTGTGTGAGTATGGGACGTGGTGCAGGAGAAAAGCACCTCCTTTTCTCTGCAGAATTGTGCCATGGATTAGACCAGCCTAACAGAGAAGCTTGTTGAGCATCCCAGATTTGGATTGCCTACCTGGTGTGAATTACACTTTGATGTTTGTGCAGATGCCAGACTGGATTCAATCAGTCTGAGTGGCCTGAGGTTGCCTTTCTCTGGAGGGACTCAAATTCCTGTCATTGTTGTTGCCTGTCAGGAAAGAAAGCTACCTAGTGGAATAGCTTGGTTTCTTTTCGGCCAGCATGACTGGCGGTGAGCTTTCAAGGTTAGTTGCAAAGTTGGCCATATAAGAGGCAGTGATAGACCTGGGGGTCAGGCCACATGTGACGCTGAGGTCACTGGGGAGCGAATCTTGCTCAGAGGAGAGTGAGGATGGATTTTCAGAGGACACAATTCCATACATAATGGAGGGCAAGCAACACTCCCATGAGTGGAGCCCATGTGGCATTTCAGGCGCACAGAGGGCAAGGAGTGTAAAGGCTAGGAGCACTGGCTCTGGAGACCGCCTGGCTTCACATCTCGGCTCTGCCATTTCCTAGCCTTGTAACCCTTCAGAGGCTTAGCTTCCTCATCTGCAAAATGAGTCTGGTAAGAGTACCTATTGCCATAGGGTCGTGGTGAGGATGGAGTGAATAAATACATGTAAACACTTAGACGGTGCCTGGCATACTGTAAGTGCTAAATGCATGGCTAGCTACTGTTGTTATTATTGTTATTGTCCTCTCCTACTACAGATTGTAGTCCACCGTCCACCCTATTGGGCAGGAAAATGACTTTGCTCCTAGTCACCCTTCGTCAATAGAATATTGATAAATCACACAAGTTGTAGCTTCTCTCACTGAATGGTGTAATGCTTTTTTTTTTTTATGTTAAGAGAAACGGTTCAATTTAGACTTCTAAAAATCGTTTAGGAGCCTTTATCCCAGCATGTCAGTGAACTTTGTTGGCAGCCTTTAATAAATTGACATGAGAATCTCAGGGATTAGTGACCAACATTCCCGGAGGTATAGACAATTAAGGAGTTAGATGTTTTATCAACTCATAATCAAATAGTCTCCTGTGCTTTTCCAGCTGTCTTACTTTTAGACTATGCACATGGACAGCTTTGGTTTTGCTTTTTATTTTTTAATTGTGGTAAAATACTTATAAAATTTACCGTCTTAACCATTTTTAAGTGTACACTTCAGTGGCATTAGTGCATTCACATTGTCGTGCAACCATCACCACCACTTATCTTCAGAACCTTTTCGTCTTCCCGTACTGAACTTGCCATACTCATTAAACACTGCTCCCTATTCCCCCGTCTACTTAACTCCTGGCAACCACCATTCTACTTCCTGTCTCTATGAATTTGACTACACTAGGTACCTCATGTAAGTGGAATCGTACAGTATTGGTCTTTTTATCAGCACCGTACTCTCCCGAGTGAGCCACAGGCCGGCCCAGTATTGGTCTTTTTATGACTGGCTTATTTCACTTAGCATAATGTCCTGAAGGTTCACCCTTGCTGTAGCATGTGTCAGAAAGGCTGAATAATATTCTGTCGTAGGTGTATACCATGTGTTGTTTATCCTTTCATCTGTTGTCAGACATTTGGGTTGCCTCCACCTTTTGGCTATTGTGAATAATGCTGCCATGAACATGGGCATATAGACTTTTTTAAAAAAAAACTTTGTAGGGCCGAGCCCGTGGCGCACTCAGGAGAGTGCGGTGCTGGGAGCGCAGCAGCACTCCAATTGCAGGTTCGGATCCTATATAGGGATGGCCCCGGTGCGCTCACTGGCTGACCGCAGTGCAGCCGTTCACAAAAAAGACAAAAAAAATAAATAAATAAAAAAAACTTTGTGATTAAACACATACATGTCTACTGTAAAAAAATTAAATATATAGTCAAGTAGAAAGCACCCTCCCACCATGGTCACCTGAAATCTTAGCATTTACAGATAACCACTGTTCATAGTTTGGCCTCTGTCCCTCTAGCTGTATTTTGGCCTATACCTGTGAAATGAAATTATTCTATACATATTGTTATGAAATCTGAGCTATTTTTAAAAACATGTTTGAGGGCCGGCCCGGTGGCGCACTGGATAAGTGCGCCGCTTGGGAAGTGCGGCGGCGCTCCCGCCCGAGGGTTCGGATCCCACATACAGACCGGTTCCCGCTCACTGGCTGAGCGAGGCGCGGGGGCAACACCGAGGGTTGCAATCCCGTTGCCGGTCCCCGGTCTGGTACGGGGGCAACACTGAGGGTTGTGATCCGTTGCTGGACACGGAAAAAGACAAAAAAAAGACAAAAAAAAAAAAACATGTTTGAAATCTGTGAAGTAATTCAGTAGTTTCCTTGTTTTGAGCAGCAAGGTGGTGGGTGCCCATGCTGGCAGGCAAAGGCCGGTCCCATCCTCAGAGTCCCCCGTGACTCCCATTGTGAAGTTTAGGAACAGACTGTGAGAAGCCCGACGTCACCTAGCTCCTTCTGCCCCCAATGCTGGTTCCTAACTGGCCTCTTCTCTCCCTCTCTTCCAGGCAAATGTCTGCAGACTACGTCTGACTGTCCCTCCTGAGAGCCCAGTTTCTGAGCAAAGTGAGAAGAAGATTGAGAGGAGAGAACAGGTGAGCCATCTCTGAGGCAGAGCTCTGGCAAGTTCTTGTCGTTGTGCTCTCTAGTCTGCTCTCCCTTCCATCCCCGAACCAGGCTGTTTGCAGAGGCTGCTGATGATGTCGAAGGCCTCGTGACCTTGCCACCTGCCTCCCATCTTCCCAGAAGTCAGCTCTTCTCAGAGGGCTCTGCCAGTGTTGTCCCCTGCTCTCATTTCTGGTTGAACACTGGCCCTGTGTTGCCTTGAAGCTGCAGGGACATTGGCCTTAGTGACAGGTGCTGTGGCAGGGATCGTGGTTTTTCCTGAAACAGCCCAGTGCAGGTGAGTCAAAGGGCCCATTGTGAGCTGCCGGTGGGGCCCGAGCCTTTCTCAGCAGCTCGGAGCAGTGGCTGGAAGCCCGGCTCACGCAGTGGGGGGAAAAGCCTAGCAGGCAGCTGTGGCGTGGGGAAAGGGCACTTTCTTGGCTGGAGAAAGGAGTTCAGCAAACATTTCTGTGCCAACTCCTGTGCTAAGTGCTGGAGCCGTGAAGATAAGTATGACCTTGCCTTGCCTTAGAGGAATTCACAGTTTTTCAGGTGAGACACGTAGAAGTAAACAATGACGATGTGGTATTCCAAGTATTAGGATCCAGCCACGTGAGAAGGGCTCTGGGAACACAGAGTAGGGAAGACTTGACTGCTTGGGAGGTGACATTGATGTGGAGGCTTAAAGGATAAATAGGAGGTCCTGTGTACCTCTAGGCCCGTGGCCCTGGTCAAGCCATTTTACTCATTCACAAGCAATTATGGGGCACCTGCTGTATTCCAGGCATGTTCTAGGCACTAGGAGTATAGTGGTGAACAAAGCAGTGTACGAAAGAATACCTGGCTTCCCTAGAGCTTATATCCTAGTGGGACAAGAATGAAAATAAACAAAATAATAAGTTCATTTTATAGAGTTTAGGAAGTAGTAAGTACTGGTGGAGACAAAGTAAGAGAAAAGGATAGGAGTGCCAGGAAGTAGGTAGTACTTTTTCTTATACATATGTTTTATATGAACATAAAATAAAACAAAATGGTGTGATATAGTATAATAAAATATAAGTTTAGTAAATGAAATTATGAGGCAGTGACTTCTTGAAACACAAGACTTGCTTTGGAGTTAACCAATAATGTGGTCAATTATAAAAAAAGAAAGCTTCTCCTTGATTGATAAAGGGTTGGTAATGTCCTTAATTTACTGTAGGTCTTTGTCTTCCCTTCTCTCCTCTTACACCCTTCTTCTTTCCACTTCTACCAAAAACAAAGAGCCATGTATGCTAATGCAGATGATGAATGACAGGGAAAGGAAGCAGGGAGGAAGGAAAATGAAGTTATGACTAGAGGAAGACGGGGGGGGGGGGGAAAGGGGTTAAGTTGCTCAAAAAGAGCAGATGTGTCCTTCTAAAAGGGTCCAGAAAAACAGCTGGTTCCAGGTTGGAGCAGGGAGAGGAGGAACAGGGCCTGGGACGCCTGGTGCTAGAAAGTTAGGTGGCACTCAAAGACCAAGGGGTCATCGCAAAGGACCCAGGAGCTGACTTGAAAGGGCTCTCACTGGCCAAAATTGGAATGACCTAAGCATCAAAAAGAATAGTGACAGTAATGGGTTATGACAGATTGAATAAAAAAAAAAAAATCCATGAGTATATAGTGATAATCAGAGAGGGGCAGGGGGAGGGGAAGAACAGGGAAGGCTCTTCTTTATAGAGCACCAGCTAATTAGTTTAGAAAAATCTGTTTTGCAACCTTCAGGTAGGCTCTTCAGTGGCAAAAATATTGGTGAAAGGTTTTTGTGGAATCGGATATTCACGTGGTCTCAAAGTATTACCTCAACAAATTACTTACTGATTCTAAAGGGACAGTGTTCTGTACAGTGGAGCAATCTGGCAGTCAACGTTTCAGCCAAGTCATCCAACCTAGCATCACCAGTAGTGAGACAACCTGATTGTTATGTGACTTCGGAGGTGATGCCATTAAGCAGTACACAATATTACCTATTTAATATTCACACCAAACTTGTTTAAATGAATCTAGTAATAAGGAAACAGATCCAAAATGTGGGACATTCTACAAAACAATTGGCCTGAACCACTCAATAAATTCAATTGTCAACAACAACAACAAAAGATTAGCATCTGTTGTAGACAAGAGGCTAAAGAGGCTTAACATTAAATGTAATGAGTGAACATTGGCTACATCTTGGGTCAAAAAACCTATAAAAGATATATTGGGTAATTATACAATTTTGAATATGAACCATGTATTTTAAATATTATTGAGTACACGTTAATTTTCTTACTTGTGATAATGGTACTGTGCTTATGTAGTGGGACTCTTCTTTTAGCTTCTTGTTAGCTTTGAACATTCTCCAAAGAATAAGTTTGGGGGTAAAAGGTCATAACCAGAAAGAGAGAGAGAATGGCCAGGCTTCAACTGCCAGGCCCTTGTTGATGACCAGGGTTGCGTAGGGCCTGCTGTTGCTGTGGGGGAGAGGGGACATCCCCTTCTGCCCTCACTGCCCCTCTCCCTTTCTGTCCCTTTTAGAGCCAACAGCCAGGTCAGAGAAGTGGGCCTGGGCTGTGTCCAGGCCTACCCAGGCTGCTTAGAACACTTTTTGAAGAAGGGATGCAAGTGGGAGTGAGTGACAGGACAAGGGTCTTAGTGGCTGTGCTGTCCCCATGGTAGAAGAATTGGGGAATTTGGTCTGTTGGACTTAGACCCAAGCTGCATGCCTGGGAGATTCTTGTGAAGGGTTTCTGAGTGCTGATACTGGAGTGGTAGATGCCCTGGAGGGCCTGTCACTGCTGAAGAAGAGCCAAGTGTTTCCAAGGAAAGAGGCTCGAGTGCTTAGCAGAGTTGATAACCAGGTTGTATACCAATTTGCCTGTTTGTCTTGAACAGTGCTTTTCCAACTTGTTAAAGCAATCAGACCTCTTTTTTATTTTTTATTTATTTTTTATTTTTCCTTTTTGTCTTTTTTCGTGACTGGTAACAGGATTGCAACCCTCGGTGTCGCGCCCGCACCGCGCTCAACGAGTGAGCGGACCGGTCTCTATATGGTAACAGGATTGCAACCCTCGGTGTCGCGCCCGCACCGCGCTCAACGAGTGAGCGGACCGGTCTCTATATGGTAACAGGATTGCAACCCTCGGTGTCGCGCCCGCACCGCGCTCAACCAGTGAGCGGACCGGTCTCTATATGGGATCCGAACCCTCAGCGGGAGCGCCGCTGCGCTCTCAAGCGCCGCACTCTACCGAGTGCGCCACCGGGCCGGCCCTGGACCTCTTTTTTATAAAAATAAAAATGTTTATTCTGAACCCTTATATATAAACCAGACAAAAGTGGCGCTGGTAAGGGCCAAAGTCCTCCCAGTCTCCCTTCACCTGTCCAGTCCCAGGCACCATCCTGCAGGGGCCTGAGAACCCCAAGGCTCTGAGGAGCCCAGAACAGAATCCACTGGGGTAGACTAATGCACCACGATGCTACTTACACCAGGTGGACCAGGTATGCTGCTGAGTGCCTGTCTGCGATCGTTGGTGACGCATTTTAGAAGAGCTGGGGTAGAGAGGAGGAGGGTGGGGCAGGCTGTTTTCCCAGGACTGAAGTCCTTGGGTGGTGGCAGCACTTGAAGGTTCTGGTGGTAACTCTGAGGCTTTCTGGGTGCTTTCGTCACCGTGTATGTACTGGCCAGGTTCCTGGGCCTGAGTCAGTGTGAGCCAGAGGCCATGCACCAGCGAGGAGACTCTGCGGGGGCCCCTTCCTCTGATGTGGTTTCAGCGTGGCTGCCACTGCGGGACCCACAAAATTGCAAAGTGCAAGAACTCTGCATGACCCTCCCTGGTCAGATGACTTTGGTTGCTTTGAAAGTGGGTCTGCGGTAAACAGAGGCTGGGGGATTGGAGCTGGCTTGGATATGGAGTTAGGAAGCTGTAAATGGCCCAATTGACTTCTGATGAAATAGAACTGTTCAGAGGATTTCCAGGGCCCTGGGACAGCTGCATCTGGCTGAGGGCAGGGCTTGGACTTAGTCTTTGACACTGTTATTGAAGATGTTTAGTGTATTTTGAGGAACTGGGATCCCATGGGGCAGTCGGCCACGGGTAGATGCCACTGCCAGTTGGGCCATTCTTTTGTACACTGTTCTCAAATCATCGGAGAAAGCAATTACTCACAGTGAAGGTGTATCACAGGTGTTGCATTTTGCCCAGCTCCATGAAGGTGTGTTGGAGGCTGCTGGAGGCAATTACAACCAAGTCAGCATCTTTTTATGGTGTTGTGTGTTCGTGGGGTGTGCTTAGGAGGCATCCTCCCCCTAAGGAAGATGCCCTGGCTGCCTGTGCCTTTTAGTGCGTCTCTTCAGGAGACATCAGCTGCCCAAGACTGCTTTCTCCAGCCACAGATGAGCTCCCAAACACTCAGCTTCCTCATCTTTAAAGTAGGTACAATAATGCCTGGATGCAAAGAGTGAATGAGCTAATATGTGCCAGGTACCCACCATGGTGCCCGGCCTCTCATATGGACTACAGAGGCAATGACTCAATGCCAATGTGTTCCCTTGGAATGCCAAACCCAGTGGCCCTTGGTCTTTGCTTTGCTCCCTTTAACCCTGGTGCAGTCATTCCCCTTCCTGAGACTGCTGTCCTGCCGCTCCTTCCTCTCAGGCATCCTTTTTGACGTCATTCTGTCCTTGCCTCCTCTCTCAGCACAGACCTAACCTCAGAGAACCCATCCATGGCTTGGTGCTGCGTCTTTGGGGAGGATGCCACCCACACGTCAGCTCTGCTCTCTGAGCCTCGTCCTAGTGGCTGTGCCTGTTTTCAGTATTATATTTACATACCAGTGTACCGATATTTTATTGGTGTATTACCATTATTTTAGTATTTAAAATACAAAATGCAGATCGTTTTTGTGAATGTATACCCAGAAGGTTCTAGACTACGTTAAAATCTTGAATGGAACATAGGTGCACTCATTGAGAAAATGTTCTGACCGTTCC